CACATATATATACATATATATAAGCCCTGCAGACTGACATCCTTCCACCTTTTAGCTGACGGAGGAAACACAGCCAGGGCCCAGATTTCTTTTCATTACAGGCAGTTCCCTTTGTGGTTTTAGAGTGAGCCAAGTTTCTGGCTTTTTTCACTTTCACACCTCTGTTCCCCATAGATGTAATTATATTATCTGTCCTAAAAAATACAATTAGCTCATGTAATCATATTCCAGCAGCAGGGTTTGCAGTTTGGTCGTTGAACATCCACGTTTTCATCGATTTTTCTCGTTGAATATGGTGTGAGATGCTGCGCACAGCAGATCTGCTCTGGTACAGCATACCAATCCAACATCTTCACGTTTCAGATTACCTTACAAAGCCATTACCACACCGAAGGAACAATCTGCATGTAAAGACAAGCGGAGACACAAGACTTGGCAGCAGTAGCCTCTGAGGCATTAGCTTTCATCTCTCATTGCTACTTTGTTTTGATTCTGAGAACTAAATTTAACTTTAAATCTGAATAGTATGGAAGTGGATTAGAGAAACTAAAATAATTCAGACTTTTTTTTCTCAGAATACTGACTTTTTTGTCTTCCCTACGATTCAGCTCTAGTTGCATAAAGTTAGTTAGTCCTCACTAGAAAACAAGGCAGATAAATTCAAATAATCAGTTAAAGACAAATGGTGGAAATTTATCAAATGTCCAGTTAATTGCATCAAGTTCTTGACTTGGAGCATTTCTTTATGAAATCAACATCGTCCACATGCTCATCACAGCACTGGCACTCTGAAACATTTGGATGAATTTTCTGTGTAACAAAAATGAAAAAATTATATTATGCATAAATCAAAACAAACATTCATGTTGTCGTCTTGTTTCCCATGTGGGCCTGATTTGTTCTCCTTCCACCTGAAACAATTCAAGACATGTCAGGTTTTATTCTGTGACCCTGGATTTGACTTGACTGCTGTTTTTCCCTCCAGTCATTTATATTCTACTGAGGCTCCACTGAATGTATAGGAGCAGCAGTTGATGCAGCAGAGACATCAGTGTCAAAAATACACATTTCCTGCTCCTTTCTATACAGATGAGTTGGTTTATGTTCCCTTCTAAAATATATTAATTTTATAGGTGTAATATCAGCAATTCATACTTTTCGGAGGACATTTTTAGGCGGCTAATTTGTCTCCTGCAGTCACATTAGGCACCATTCTTCATCTGATTGCATCCATCAGTAGTCGGCACATAATTCATCTTTTTTTCCTCAGTGTTTGACAAATTATTATTCTGATCAAGAATGCTGAGCTAATGAGAGTCTTCTGGTCCGTCATTAGTAAAGGAAAATAGCTCCTTAGTGGAGAAGATGATGTTAATTTGCTGGACGTTAAGTTGAGTTTCTGTGCAAAATGAGATGATTGCTTTCTCATCCTGCTAACTGTTCCCCATTGGCTGCTGTGGTCTCTTGTGTTTTCCTTTGCCTTGCATCTATTTGATCTCTTAATTGCTGAGATGAGCCTGTATATCCTAATGGTTTCTCAGATATTTCTG